TTATTTATATAATATATAAATAGCTATTCAGCATGCAAAGAGTTTAGGGATTTCCCAAATTTAATGTAGCGCTCACCCCAGCCACCCTGACAGTGTGGTGATGTCTGATGCTAGCGGACAGGGCTGAGGACCAAGCAGTCACACCCTAGAGAAAAATGGTCTTTGCTCCTCTGAGCACACTGGCTGGATTTACTGGAAGAAATTAATTTTTTTCAATTCTCTTTGGCAGGTCTCGCTTCAGAGACACAGGTTTTCTGGGAGCCGAACAGGCCCACGGGAGATTGGCCCTGACAGGACTCCCGGGGACGCTGCCAGGTGAGGTGCACATCAGGACTGCTGGCCATGGGTGCAGAGGGTACTGGACAGGCCAAGTCGTGTGACCCAGAGGGAGATGGCACACTGGGGACCCAAGGGGAGGGCTCCGTACTTTACCACAAAGCCCAAATGATAACAGAGATACTACTAGTTGCACTTTCCCTACTTGTGAAGGAAAAGGGAAGAGAATATTTAAAACTACCCATGAGGTGGCACATGGCACACGAGCCTCTCTGCAAGTCACCTCTCAGACCTTAACAGCTCCTGGACCAACCTCCAGGCTACCGACTGAGCTGCTGGCTGAACTCTGAAAGTGCACTCGCACTCGGGGAGTCTCAGAGAGTCTCAGGGAGTCTCTCGGACTCTCCAGAAGCCACAGGAGGGGCCCTGTGTTTCCCTTGCATGTGGAAGGCCAGAACCCCAAGGTGTGCACGGAGGCCTCCCACCCCAGCAAAGTGAATCTCTCCCTGAGGCAAAGAGAGACTTCAACTCCTGGCCCCTGACTGAATTCAACTGTAGTATGAAAACCTCTAAATAACTCCAATGAATCCTACACTCCTACCCTGTGCCCGGGCAGGTCAAGAGATGCCAGGTAACAGGTCCCCAGTCCTGCAGCCAAAATTATTTCTTAGACGGTTGGGGTTTCTCTTTTCCTGGCCTCAGCTATGTGTCAGAAGACAGATCCACGCACACACCTGCCTTTGCACACTCACACCCTTTGAAATACCTTCCTGGGTTTCTGGGTGGTGCGGGCCACCCACAGAGGTTAACACTGATTGACAGGTCCTGGGGCTGTCAGGGAGACGGGGCAGTCATCCATCAGTCCAGTTCTCCACAGTCCCCATTCCTGAATGATACTGTAAGGAAGACTCCCGGGTCAAGGAGAAGCTCTGAGAGTAGAGAAACTCACTGGCAGCGTTCAGGTGCGGTGGAGAGGGCGGCTTCCTCTCACAGCCTGGGGGGAGGCTGCGCTCTCTCGGGAAGGAGGCCGTGGGACCCCGCTCCCGGACCTGAGACTGTGACAGCTGATTGTAGACACTGAAGTGGGCGTTTCCTGGTGGCTGGGAGCTCTGCGCAGAGATAGTGGGCAGCCGAGGCATCATAGTGGTGGCCGTGAAGTGCGTGGGGAAGGGCTGGTAAGGCACAGTTTCCATGGTCTGAACGCTGTAGCTGGTGTACGGCGAGACCGACGTCCACATGTTACAGCTCAGCGGGGGCGGGGGCAAATCGTCCACCCCAGACACCCCGGCAATCTCAGGCCCTGAGCTGGAGTACATACAGGCTTCTCTGGGAGTCACCTCACTGCAGTAGGAGGGGCTCAGCATCTGTTGGTCGTAGGGAGGGGGAGAACGGAAGTAGTGATCTTCTGCCACCGAAGAGGGAGCTTCCAGGTAGGATCGCTTGCAGGGTAACTCCAGGTGGCGGGCACTATCTGCTGGAAGACAGGAAATACTCAGGAAGAGTCATTTTCACCAGCCCTGGGCCCAGGGCACCCCAATGGACAGCCAGCCGTTGTCGCTCAGCGCTTGCTCTCGCCTTGTGTTACCATGTTACTCCCAGAACCATTTTAATCAGCTACGGCTTTTATGGGTGGCAGCAGTGAAGAAGTGGCCAGAATATGGACCCTCTTCTAAGGCCAGGGGGGACGCCCCATCCCCAGACACTGAGTGACATGCTGAGCTGGGCTCCGCGCAACTCTGATCTTTTGTCAACCTGACTCCCAGGGTGGTAAGAGGCTCCGGCACACACTAGATTCTCAGGCCAGGCTGGCCCTGGTCATGGAAAGTGGTGGCAGCCGCCAGGCCAAACGAGGCCGGGAGATGAAGCACCTGAAGCAGCTGGACAATTAAAGGCACGCTGTCTGCTCCTGAGGAGGGCTGGGGTTAGCTCCAGGCAACGTTTTGTTGTTTATGAAAGAGGAAGTTAACCCTACCGTGTTCAATGAAGACCCATCAGACAGTTGTCACCCAGATCCTGACACAACTGTGTCAAAATAATCGAGCAATGGAGCTGAGTTGGGCATGGTGGCACATGCTTGTAATCTCAGCACTTGAGAGGCTCAGGTAGACAACTACAAGTTTGAGCCCAGCCTGGGTGACTTAGTAAGACCCTGTTTAAAAAAGAAGAAAACAGGTTGAGGGGAGGCTAGGGATGTAGTTCAATATGAAGGCCTTGGGTTCAATCCCCGCAGTATAGCAAAAAGCAAAGGAGAGGGGCAAAAGAATAAAAAGAGAAAAGAAGGAAAAAGGCTGTTAAGTGAAAAGGGTGACATATAGTCTGGAGAAAGAAGACATCAGAGGCCACAAATCATAACTGAGGATCTTTCAGCATCCTCAATTATGAGGCCTTAACTCTTAACTGTGGGCTAGAGTAGCAGCCTACTCAATGAGTAACAGAACACTTCTCCATGGCTTATCTTGGCCCCCGGCCTTCTGTTTTCTCCAGGGGTTCATTCTGGGAGCTGTGTGTGTGCACAGGGCAGGGCGGCCTGGATGATGGGGGCTCAGTTCAAAGCCTTCACTCACCATGCCCTTTGGGCATCGGGGGCCTCTCACCTGCCAAGGAAACTCACTGCCCTCCCTCACCAGCCTCTCCCTTGCTCTCACACAGCAAGGTTCTCCTTTCTCCTTGTACTCAGCTCTTTGCTTGGCAGGTGGCATAGTCACTCTGGGTCAGGAATCAGCAAAGGGCCAGACAGTAAATGTCTTAGACTCTGAGGGCCACACAGTCTGTGTCACAAGTACTCGGCTCTGCTGCTGTCCCATGACAGCAGTACATAAATGCATGATATGGCCGTGTTCCAGGAAAACTTATTGATGGATGCTAACATTTGAAATTCCACATAGTGTTTGCATATCATGAAAACTCTTCTTTTGGCTTTTTTCAACTACGTAAAAACTATTTTGATCAGGCAGCAAGCTAGCTCTGGTCCAATTCCACAGTGTGCCGACCCCTGGTCAAGGTCACTGAGTTCTAATGGGGCTTACACAGAGGATACCTGGAGCTCTGCCCGTGCGGCTCTTAGGAACAGGGCTCAAAGAACATTCCAGATTACAAGGAAAAGTCCCCAGACTCGTTCCCAAGAGAACATCAATGGCTGAGTGAGGCCTTCCAGTGGGGCAACACTAATCACCCCCATTCTACCCATGGAGAAACTGAGGCCTCGCAGAAGAGCATGGACATTACGATTCCCAGTCCAGGGCCCTTCACAAAGCAGCCCAGCATGCAGACTGCTGTTGCTCATCTTCCTGGTCCCCAGTCTGATTCTCAAATAGCTCACGTCTGCCCCCAAACAGTCCCTGCAGTTAGGCAAGGGTGGAGAGCGCTGCACACAGGCCTGTGGGTCTCCCTGCTCTGTGGCTGAGGCTGCTTCCATCAGTAAAGCCCCAACCCAAGACCCTATGGCCCAGGAAAACCCGCTTCCTCCTGAGCCTCTAGGTAGAGCGCAGCTGGGCTTTGTGTCTTCTTCGCCCACCACGGCAGCTTCCCGAGCAGTGACAGCAAAGCAACACCTGGAACTCGGCAGGGGCCCAGCATGGAGACCCCAGGGCCCCACGCTGTCAGTGCAGATTCCAGAGGTCACATAAAGAACAGCAGTCCTGCGCGGGCCAAGGTGGCCCTGAGCCTGGCCATGGTCCCCACCCTCGGCCCGGCTCCGCTGTGGAGCCCCCAACCCCAGGCTACCTCGTCTCTTCAGGCAGTGATAGAAGAGGCTGGAGTCCCGCTGGGGTGGGAAGGAGTTGAGGGGCAGGTCCTGTGGCTCGGCCGCACCGAACTGCATGTGGGCCCCGTTTTCATACTGATAGTGCTGCAGGGCCTGGTGGGCACCGTGCAGGGGGCTGACGGGCTTGGCGGAGAGCTGGCTGGAGACGAGCCTCTGCCTCATGATGCTTTTGGAGATCACGGGATACTCCTTGCTGGAGGGGTGGAGAGACAGACAGTGAGGCTGCTTTGAAGGCTACCCAGTCGGCCCACCCTTGCCCTGGGTGGGGGCAGCCCCACCTCTGCAGCCGGGCCACACGGAGGTCACTGTCGTCACTGCCCCGGAAGCCCTTGGCGAAAGGATTGTTCTCAATTTTCAGCTGTGTGATCTGTCAGGAGAGGACACACAGTAGAGACACTGGGAGGAGAGGACCAGGCTGCCCGCGGCCCTCCTCCCCCAGCCCAGGCACACTGAGCGCGCAGGGAAGGTTGGGGAGGGGCAGCCCTGTGACAGTGCAGAGTCACACTTGGTCCTCCCTGGCCTTGCCACCCTTGCCTGGCTTGTCCCTGGCTACCCTCCATTAAGCTTGTTCCAGTCCTGGAGTCTTCCTCCTGCACAGTCCACCTCTCCTGAGGCCCCGAAACAGCTTCCTGCCATGTCACCCCACCTAGTGCAACTGCCATCAGGTTCTGAAGGGCTGTTCTAAATGCAAATTTGACTCTGTCACTTTTTCTGCCTAAAATCCACCACAGCTGACGGCCCTGCCCACCTAGCCGGTCCCAAGGTGCCATCATGTGAAAAAACGCCCTGACAAAGGGGGAAGCAGCAAGGTAGAGTGGCAGGAGGGCCCTGAGGACCCCAGGGGTGGCTGGGGCTGGAGAGGCCTGAGGGTGGGGTTGGGGTGGGTAGATATCCAGGCATCTCCCAGCTAACAGCTCCAGGGACTTCTTTCCTCCTTTTCTACCCCTCTCTCCAGGCCCAGCATCTGCCTCTGCTGGCACCCAGAGGAAGCATACGGAAGAAAGAGGCCTAGCACTCAGACAAGGCAGGCTGTAGGTTCCCAGGCGTCACAGCTGCTGGCTGTGGGCTCTGGCCTTCCCTGAGCTCCGAGTTTGGCTCAGTGGCTCTGGGCACCAGGAACCGGCTTTTCTGCCTCCCACACCTTTCCCATCCCCCCAGTGCAAAGACTGTGTCTTGTCTCCTGCTCAACACTGGATGGGGACGGACTTGCTGCCCTGGAGGACATGGCAGGCTGGGAAGCGCCGTCAAA